CGAGCGCCCGCGTGTGCCCCAGGGCTGGGGCCGCCCGAGCGCCACACACCTGGCACCGGTGCGTGCCGTGCGTCACACGCCGGGGGCGGGGCCGGCCCAGGTTGTCGGCGAGCACGCACAAATGCCCCGGCAGGCGCCATGGCACCCACGGGCACCGCGTTGGGGACCACTGGTTTAAAGGGAAGGCAGAACCCGGTAACTTTGCAAAGTAAGTTGCCCTGGGTTTTTGCCAACAGTCTGATTGCTGGCTATTGGTAGGAAAAATATGTGGTGTTAGAAAAGAACACGGACCCAAGGGGAAACATGGGGGTGGAAATAACATGAATATAACACCATATTCCAGACATGTCTTTCCATGGAAAGCCTGCAGTTAAACTGTCCAATAGAGGTGAAAGTAAGCATGTAGGCCCAGGTGCGCAGCTCTGTGAAGAGCTGGCTGAGCTGTGGCAAAAGCCAGCAGGGAGCTATTTTAAGAGCTGGCAGGGGCCCTGGTTGCAATAGGACAATACCTGTAAGAAATGTTAAGTTATTTTCACTGCTGCCAATAGAACACTTTGAAATCAGAGGCAAGATACAGCCATGAATTTGGATCACAGGAGTGAAATTTCTTACAATTGCAGTGAGGGGGTGGGGAGGGAAGGGGAGAAGATTTCATATCTAGGGTTTTGGTACAATATCCAAGAGTGCAGTTACTGAGATTCCAAAATTGATTTGGATCCTGATCAGATCCAGGTTTGAATGAGGAGTGTTAAAGTGTGTTTAATCATGTACATTTCAGAAGTTACATGGTTACACATGGAGGGCAGGCAGCTCCCCAGAAGCTGGTGTGCACTGCTTTTAAGCTGGCTCCCCATGCATACCAGGAGCCTGCGTGTAACCATGAAAGTTAACCAAGGAACCTGGGCTCATTGTTTAACAGTATTCACTGTTTAACTTTCACATCCATAGTTTGAAGTTACTGTTGTTATAAAGTCTAGAACAGCACCTCTTTAAAGAACCAGGCAGTTAACGATCCAAAGATCAGTGCATCGTTGGCCTCTCTGTCATGAAAAGGGATTCCTATGTTGCATGCATCCCAGAATTCTCCTTTCCATCTGTCCAGATTCCAGGCTGCTGACCCTATGTCAAAGAGCATCACATATGGGCTGCCTTCTATCAGCCATCTTCCAAAAAATACCTATTAATGAGAAGTAGAGGTGTTAGCAGAAAAGGCCAGTTTCTCAAGGAGTTATCTAAAGTGAACTAGCAAATTTTGCATAGATACCAAAATTCACGAGTAGAAGCACAAGCATTTGGGAACGCCACAGGTATCCCTGTGCGCACAAAATGGATATTTGGGGTTTCTCTTTGCAACGTGTGGAGTAATGCTAGTCCATTGTGGGGAGCGAAGGGAGAAGAGGAGTGAAGGATTCACCACCACATTTTTTCCAATTTTATTTTCTTATATTTTTACTGAAGTTTGAAAGATTTTTAAACTGCTCCATTGGTGGATAAATGGGAAGAGAAATGAGAGAACACTTTTGCTATCAAAATGGTATTTGTCATTCATATTTCAAAGTGACAAAACTTTCAATCATCCCTAGTGATGATCACATTTACCCAATTAAATAAAAGGTGCAGGCACTTGGCATTTTCCAGGATTGGAACCTGGGATCCATAACTGCCCCCTTTTTATTCATATCTTAATGGCATTTGAGGTGCAGTGTAATGGTGCAAAATATCTACGACCAGCCTTAGAATTCATTCTCATTTACTCTAAGACCTCCTCTATACAGTCAAGTTATACTGCTTAAATTAAACTGGGATGGTTAAGACCGTACAGCCCTCACTGTGGGTACGTCTAAACTAAGTTTTTTTTCAAAAGAGGATTTGCAAATTCCATGGGAATTTGCATATCTTCTTCCAGTCTCACTTTCGAAAGCAGATCTTTCGGAAGTGAAAGTAGTCTGGATGCGTTTTGGGGGGGGGGGGGAGACCCCCCCCCACACACACACACCACCC